CATCTGGATGCAGCTGTTATGATCATTACATCTGGATGCAGCTGTCATGATCATTACATCTGGATGCAGCTGTCATGATCATTACATCTGGATGCAGCTGTCATGATCATTACATCTGGGTGTCGCTGTTGTGATCAGCACATCTGGATACAGATGGGTCAGGGTTTTAATGTAGCTGCTGCCTTTTCTCTGCCTGATTAATCCAACTTTTATTTTTAGGACCTTCATTCAGTCACTGAGCTGTCTTTTTGTTTATACAGCCATGTTTTTCCCAGTGGAGGAGCATGCAGTCGATTCGGCCCAAAGTGTTTCCATGACATTCTGTTTTCAGTTTCTAGATGTTTGTTTAAATCCTGTGCACTGTAAAGGTTTTTAGAACAGGCCCACAGCATCACAGATCCTCCATCTTACCAAACAGCTTCTTGGATTGTATGATGCAGGTCAGCAAAGGCTTTACGGATGCGTTTGTGTGCTGCAGGTCTCTGGCGCTGGGAACCAGGAGCGGCTACAAGCTGTTTTCTCTGACCTCCGTGGAGAAACTGGACTGCATCCATGAGAGCGGTCAGTAGCTTCCCTCACTATGAGCCGCACATTCACCGGCTCCAGGTTCACTTTCATTATTCAATTCAAAACAGCATATATCCTAAACCAGGGGGACCCTGTGACCCCCACGGCAGGCATGGGATGATTGTTTTAGGTCTTTGTGAGGTGCTGTCAATGGAGGGACAAGATAGATGTCATATATATACACAAATGTCACTGTCCCAGGAAACAAACAAATAAATAAATATACCTGAAACACTCCAAATAATAAATATACAGTTAAAATAAAAACTGCACAGGTAATTAGATGTCCAGATAGAAAAGTGTATTTAAAACTGTGAATTAAATGTAATAAAAACGTTCAGAAATACATTTGCTTAAATATAAATATAATTATCTCACTGTGTCTAAATGAATATAATTCTATGTATATTTTTAGGGGGAGTCCAGTCGTTAGAGACATTGTCCTCAGCTGTCCAGTAGAGAACTAACGGATGGTTTTTACAGGTTCTTTATTTCAGCATTAAATCTAATGTCCCAAACATCTGTTTGAAGATTCAGGGTTAAAGGTCGCTGGTTATTCATGTGATGACAGAAGAAAACAGGAAGTGATCAGTTTAATGAACAGGAAGTGAAAAACATCAGCGTTTCCTGGACCTCAGCCTAAACCGTTCCACACGTTCACATCATCCATGTCTCACGTTCACACCGGGAGAGCTCCCCACCCAAACAGGTCCTCTGTGGGCCCGTTCTCTGGGCCCGTTCTCTGGGCCCGGCCCAGAGTCCTGGCTCCTGTGAACTTTCAGCTCCTTTTGGATGCTAGCCACGCCCTGAAAGTTTGTTTTTCTACTCACTGAATATAGACGTTTATTAAGGACTATAAACAGACCTTTGTCAAGATATAGCGTCTATAACATATAAATATGTTATAGACGCTATAAAACCTAACTATAGAATCTGAACCGGATTTAGACTGCTTCTAGTTGAACTTTCAGAGTTAGCAAAACTGTTGGTATTCCCTTTGATCTCCTCCTCCATTCTAGATGTGATTAATCTATCTCTGTTACAGGGATATGTACC